GAATTATAAATATTAGTGTTAAAAAGGATACTGAAAATAATCAAATCCATACCTCCTAATCTTAAAAACAACAGCAACAGTTATAAAAGGCAGAGACCAAGACTAAGGAAATAATTCATTTAATTCCATTAGAGCCTTGTTCTTATATCATTTTTATTAGAGATATATGAAATATACTGAATATTTGTCCTTAGGAAGCAAAATTTTACAGTGTCAATTTATGGAGATAGAGTTTTACAGAAACACAAAGCAAGCTTTTCTGGTGGATTTGGATAATGTCACTGGATATTAACTGTCACTGAATAACGACAGTTCATTTGGTCATTTGTCATTTAGCTACTAGGAAACAATGTAATCAAGTGTTGGAACTGAGAGAAATGTTTAAAAACTTTCAGTGCTTGTACAACCACTTTTCTATAAAAGTAAAGATTTGTCATAGTGACCCTGCATAGGGTTTCCAAGGAGCAGCTGGTAGGATTGAACTGCCAACCTGTGGTTCAAACTGACCTTGCAGTCCAGCACATTATCCTGCAGCACCACATCAGGACTCCTGTGAAGACTTATACCCTCAGAAACCCTGTACAGGGCTGCTATGATTTGGAACTGACTGGATGGCATACAGCAGCAGTCAAATAGTGCTGAGGATGAGGGCACAAGTGTCCGTGTCCTAACTAACGATGGAAGGAAACCCACTCCTGCTCCATCTCACTGCCTCTGGCCATTTGCCAGAATCCTTTGGCCAGGCTGTACTGGTTGAGGACAGGGTTTGCCCCACCTCATTCATTTGATGGTCACATCCTTAAAAGAAAGCCTCTTTGAATTACATCCGATGGTGATACTTCTACCATTATCTGTGAGACTTCAATGAAGCTACTTCCCTCAGTTTCCTCATCAATAAAATGACAGGGGTCCTTTCCAGACCTATGGTCTTAGTTACACAGCACAGTAAATGTAATTGTTGTTGTTGTTAGGTACTATCAAGTCAGTACCGACTCACAGCGACCCTATGCACAAAGGAACGAAACACTTCTTGGTCCTGGGCCAACCTCACAATTGTTGCCACGCTTGAGCCCACTGATTCTGCCACTTTGCCAATCCATCTCACTAGGGGTCTTCCTCTTTTTCTCTGACCTTCCACCTTACCTAACATAATCTCCTTCTCCAGCGACTGGTCCCTCCTGACCAGTCTGAAGTATGAGAGATGAAGTTTGGCCATCCTGGCCTCCAAAGAGCACCCTGGCTGTACTTCCTCCAACACAAATCTATTGGTTCTTTTGGTAGCCCATGGCACTTTCA